CTTTGCGAGAACTAGAAAAAAAGCATTTGAGTGATTACAAAACCTCCACATAGCACAGATATCTACAATGAAGGACATAGACAAGGTAATTTTATATTACTCCTGTTATACCTCTCCCTTGTCTGGGTACCACAACTATGGTAGAAATATACTTCTGCATGATGAAAGAAGAATGAAGTGAGCATCAACTTTACCATGTACTTCAGTGGCCAGGCAAGTCCTTAGGACTTCATATTTTAGGTCTTCATCGATTGAAAGAGTCCCCAAGCCAACACCACTTACATTTTCTGTCCAGGCCAAGGCCTCAGGCCCACTCCAGCACCAGGTCAGCTCCTGAATATTGCAATCCATTCTGACTCCCATGGTCCCCAGCTTCAAGCCTGATCCTGCATCCCCAGTCCTGCAGTTAGCCTTTGTGCTGTGGTGGAGCCACAGCCTTAGTCTTCATCCAAATTAGTATACATGGACTCAGCCTTCAGACTAACCCAGCAACTCTTGGCTCCAGATCCACCTCATTATGAGGGAAGCCTTTGCAGTTGTCCCACGTTTTAAGCTGTCCCCAGTGGCAGGCTGGCCAGCACAGTCACAGACTCTAGGCCAGTCCCTTCAGGTCCAATTTCAATGCTCAACCAAGATCCAGACAAATACCTTCAGTCCCAGGGACCAAACCCTGGGTTCAGAACTACCATTTGTAAATAACTAGCCTAACAGCCTAAGATTCTAGCAAAATATATGTACTTGGAGGTGATTATGTTATGGGGAGTAAGCTCAGTGCGGAAAAAAAAATACCAGAAGATTTCACTTATAAAATTGTCAAACTAGTAGCGTAAAATGACTAGTTTTAATCAGAAATTGAAAGGGAGAAGAAGCAGGGGAGATGTTGGTCAAAATCAGGTGGACAAGAGTAATTGTGCAATATGGTGAATATGTTTTGTAAGGATATATTATATATTTGGAAATTGCTGAGAGCAAAGTTCGAATGTTCTCACCACAAAAAAGTGATTTCATAATTTATACATATATCTGAATACTATGGTATATACCATAAATATATGAAATTTTATTTGTGAATTAACAGACAAAACTATAGTAAAGCCTGAGTTTCTGAAATAAACATTTATATCATGACCTTCCAAAAAAGGAGGAAAGGTGATCACTTCCAACCTTCATTTTCTTCCCTCTGAGGCAACCAATCCCACCTTAGTTTTCACTTCTTTCACTTCTTCCATGAAGCCTTTTCTAACCACTACAGGGCAAAAACATTTTCCCCACTTAGAATTTTATGTGTAGATTGGTGATAATGATAAATGGGCTAAAACCAAATAAATGCAAACCAATGCATACCCCTTCAATTTTTTAAGAAACGTGTATTTGCCTTACTCTCTCTGCCTCAAGGGATACACTTAATGATTCCAATTTAGCATTCCTGCCACATTCAGAAGATTGGGTCTCCCCTGTTGCACTCTGGTGTCAGTGCCAAATAAATCACCTTACACTAATCTGAATATTTAAACCATATGCTACCAATGACATGAATGTTATCTTTGACATCTTCGTAAAAATGTTCTCCTAAATAATCCAGAGGATTGTGTTTACTGCTGAATCCATTTTAAAAGCCAATATTCCTCAGGTAACTAACCAGCTTCTATAAAACTCGTCATCAAAGAAATACAGGTGAGAAAGAAGTTAAACTCTTTTTTGCTACAAATACTAACTTTTAAAACATGTATTTCTCTACATTCTTTAGAAGTTTTTTCCTTACAATTCTAAATTTTCAATTTTTTAATATTGTTGAAGTCTTCTCTTTACCTTAAGGTAAGCACAAGACAAATGATTACCATTCATTTATATCATTTCTGAATTTGAGAGGACCCTGATTTTATAAAGTAATGGGTGAATGGATAGAATATATCAGTGTGGTTTTTGAAATTCTTTGAATTAAATCCTCTATAATGAATGTTTAATTCCCCATGAATTAAGGTAATTAGCTAGGATAATTTCAAGACAGTCTTTTAGCCCTATAATGTAATTTTAGGGAGATTTCTATTATCTCTTTTGTTTCTTAGAAAAATAAAATGTCAGTGTAAAACTTGTAACTATTTTATCAATTTTAGGAAAACTAAAATAAATTTTATTTTACCAATTAGGAAAACTACAAAAATGTTATTAGGTTATGTGACTTTAAGCTGACAAGAGTAAAGCATTTAATGAAAAACAGATTTTAAATATGTTCTTTTAACATTGTTCCTAAAGGTATAAGTCTGAAATAATCCGAGATTTAAAAGTCTGCAATCTTTTCAGAAAACAAAAGAAAAGAGGTCCATCTGTAATTTGCCCACTTTTCCTATGTTCCTAAAATTTGGGAGATAGTTGTGGTTAATGATTATCCAGAAAACTGTTAATCTAGGAATGTCTAGGAGGGCCAACTGACTATCTGAAAAAAAAGTAATAGCTCAGAGCAGATGTTTAAAAAATGTAAGGTCAATCAATAAATAATTCTCAAAGTAACTAAAATAAATGAACATAGATTAATATAAAATGTTCCCTAATATGTTAGGAATTCTTATCTATAAAGATGTATCTAATAGGTTGATTAACTTTAAGCTATATTCTTAAATTTTAATAAATATGAGCATGACAGAATCTTGGACCCATGGGAACATTTGATGGTCAAGAAGTTGACACTTTGGATATTGTTTCCATAGAGGCAAGTGACCTTAAGAATGCATTACTACAAGATGTAAGCCCACTCTTGAATGGTTTGAACTGTAGGCAAGTTGGATCAGAAAATTACTACTTCTAAGTGTTGATGCCATTATTACAGACATAGAGCAGGCTCCTCTTCAACACATTCGTTGTGACTTTATCCATTATAGATCTGTGAAATGCAGAAAACAGTTGGATAATGGAGTTATCAACTTATGAAACATAGTAGACCTAAGATTCTGTCATCTTATTTACTTAACAAAAAATTCTTGTTTTCTTGTTATAAACATAACAGCTATTGGAGAGAATTGAAATAGAGCAAAATAAAAGAAAGAGAAAGAACATATTTCATTATTCAGAGAAAACTAGTATTAACATTTTAATGTGTCTCCACACTTCTTTTTTATCTTTATGTATAAATACTTATTAGGATTGATCTAAGTACAAGACTTTCTATAATATTATATTTCTATAATAAATATTAAGTAGTATATGTTTTGTTCTTATTTTATCATTTCTTGAAATATACTAAGTAAACACAATTTTGATATTATATAATACACCCTAATATGGATGATTGACATTTACTTCATACTTATCAAAAATGGTTACCATATAAGTGTCTTGAATTTTTCACAAAGTGATATTATAATGAACACAACCCCATTACATGTAAATCTTTTTCTGATTTATATTTTATTTCATTCTGATAAATTCCTCTTTATTGGTCAATAGGTGTGAACATTTGGGAGTTTCCTTAATCTATTTCCAAGTTATTTTGTAATGATTTCACCAATTTATACATTTACAGGAATGCAGATAGGCCCCATTTCCCAGTGTTCTAGCAGCTATGTATTATTATTTCTTTTGAAAGACATAATCTTGACAGGCAAAGTAAACATAGCTTCATAGCTGTTTCAAATGATGTTTCTTTGTTTAGTAATAAAGCTAAACATGTTTAAATTGTGAAAAATATTTTCCTTTGAGATTTTTCTGTTGTTATTCTTTATCTATTTTCCAGTGATTATCCATATGCATTTGTATAAGTTTTCCATAGAATAAAACTATAGAAATGTTATTGTATTTATTGCAAACAATCCCTCACTGTCTGACAGTTGATTTTATTCATGATTTTTGCATATAGCCGCACAATGGAATTTCTCAACTTTTGACCTTTAACATTTCCTCCATTTCCTCTCACAGAATTGAAATCTCTTCATGTCTATGAACACATAAATAATGTTATATTACATCTACAAATGATATAATTAATCTGAGAGGCCTTATTATAATCACAGCTCACAACGTTATTTTTTTCTTTCCTCTCCTCTCCATCTCTCCTCCCCACTTCCTCCCCACCTCCCAGAAGTATAAGTATTTCAGATATAGCACCCTTTTCCCCCAAAGCATGTTATTTTTAAGAGCATAATTCACTGGTATTAAGCATAATTACTAGAAATATATAAATGACAATAGTTTTTATTAACATGCTTATTTTGGTATGATCCATATTTGTCCATTTTGGCCGTGTCTAAGTGTACAGGTCAGTAGCATTAAGTACATTCACATTATTACACAGCCATCATCACCATCCATCTCCAGATCTTGTATATTTTCTCAAACTAACATTCTATATTCTGTTTGTGTATATAAATTTTAAATTTGAATCCCCTGGGCACCTCATGTAAGAGATATCTGAGTCTGACTCAGGTGTTTAGCATAATGTTGTCAAAATTCATTCACATTATAACATGCGTCAAAAATCCATATTGAAGGCTGAAAAAAAATAATCCATTGTATGTGTACACCACACTTTATTTATTCACTCATCTGTCTACAGACATCTGATTTACTTACACCTTTTGGGTACTATACACAATAATGCCATGAGTGCTAACAGACAATAGTAGTCTTTTAAGCAATGTTCTTGATTACTACACACACAGTCATTGAACACGTTTGGGAACACTAATACTAATTCTGAAAGATAAATTATGATTCAACTTTAACTCACGGAGGTTTTTTCTTTGAATATTTCCCTCACAAACTCAAAAGCCATCTTTGTACATTCAAAGTAAGATTTTCCTTGAAAATATTCTGGGAAAGTGTTCAATAAATAGCCAAAACATAGTAGACCTCCTACAGTACTGGGCATCTACCAAGGTTGAAATGACAGAGGTAGCACTGTAAAAGATACTCCTTTTCTTCTGAGCCAAAGATTGCTCAAAGATGTTTTGGCATGTTAGAAATTAGCACGTAATTATTCAATAATTTTTTTTTCAGAGAATTCAATAATGGTTGAAGAAAATTATACCATGAAACCTGAGTTCATCCTCACAGGATTTGCAGATCACCCAGATCTGAAAAACATTCTATTTGTGGTATTCTTTTCCATCTATCTAATCACTATGATGGGGAATCTGGGTTTAGTGACCTTGATTTGTACACAGCATCAACTTCACACACCAATGTATATCTTTCTGGGTAACCTGGCTCTCGTGGATTCTGGCTGTGCCTGTGCTATTACTCCTAAAATGTTACAGAATTTCTTTTCTGAAGACAGAATAATTTCCTTTCATGAATGCATCATACAGTTTTATATTCTCTGCACTGTTGAAACAGCAGACTGCTTTCTCCTGACAGCAATGGCCTATGACCGCTATGTGGCCATATGCAGTCCACTGCAATACCACACCAGGATGTCCAAGAAACTCTGCATTCAGATGACCACAGGGGCCTTCATAGCTGGAAACCTACATTCCATGATTCATGTCGGGCTACTATTTAGGTTAGCTTTCTGTGGGGCTAATCTTATCAACCACTTTTATTGTGATATTCTTCCCTTGTACAGACTCTCCTGTGTTGATCCTTACGTCAATGAACTTGTGTTATTTGTCTTTGCAGGTTCCATTGAAGTCTTCACAATAGGTAGTGTCTTAATTTCTTATGTCTACATTATTTTTACAATTTTCAAAATGAAATCCAAAGAGGGAAGGGTCAAGGCCTTTTCCACCTGTGTATCTCACTTTTTGTCTGTTTCTTTATTCTATGGGTCTATTTTCTTTATGTACATTAGACCAAACTTGCTTAAAGAAGGGGATAAAGATATACCTGCTGGGATTTTGTTTACAATAGTAGTTCCAGTATTGAACCCTTTTATTTATAGCCTGAGAAATATGGAAGTACTAAGTGTCTTGAGAAAAATTCTTAAAAAAAATAATCTTAAGAAATTTTGAAACAAATGACATCTACTATAGCTTAGTGCTATAAATGCAGAAATAACTTGCACATGAAATGAGATAGAGAAAATGCACAAATGGTGCATAAATAAAGTATCTCAAAATGCAATTAAATTATGAAGCAAAATGTAAGGGTTAAAAATATACAGAAAAGAATCCCTGTGCTAAATCTTAAGTCAAAAAAATCAAAAAGTCTTTGAATCCATTTAAGTAACAAGGTAAAATGCTGCCAAGTTCATGAATTATGTCAGCTACATAATTATCAGTGATTATCAGTCCCCAAACAACACCGCCAAAACTAGCACTTCTAATAGCATGTTGTAGATACCTTATTTAGTTAAGATATATGTGTAAAGGAATAAATGTATCAAATATATGTGTTCCAAATTGAATTTGTTACAGCATTAAATGATTAAACACAAGAGATGTATTAGAGTCTTATTTATTCCCATATGTATATGCATAGGTACCATATTATAAAGTTCTAGACCAATAGGCAAACTGCATGCAAAATTTGAGGTGCTCCCTTATAAATGAGTTTGTCTAAACTTTTCTGTACCCATTCCTGAAAGGTGAGAAAGGATTCAACAATGGGGATACAATATAGATGAAGAAAGAAAAGTGTAATTTTTGAACTGTGGATAGGGCTTATCTTTTTGTAAAACAAAATCTTTCCTATTTCTTTTCATCATTGCAAAACCTGAAGTTGTTTAATAAAATTATCGTAATGTGATACAATTATTCACTCATCATATATTCAATGAGATTCTGCAGTGTGGAAGCACTGTTCTAGGTGGGAGAATAAAAGTTGCCAAAACTCTTATTTCCTCTTTAAATAATGAAATACTTTCAAATTTTGAATTAATAACTTCTGAAACACGAAGGACCCATAACAAATATCACGTGAATTCTTTCTGCCTCTTACCTTGAAGCTCTGAGGTATATCTAAATTCCCAGAAGGCAACTGTCAGGTTGCAGCAGTGCTCCAGGCTATTCAGTCAACAGAGGCTGACTTCCCATGGAAAACCAACATGTCGAGTCTGTTGAGAAAAAGCAGTAGGAAAGCACACAGAATGTTTCCAAATCCATAACTCTTGCAGGAAAAATATAACCATATAGTCTCTTTTTGGAAGCCACAGGAAAATTTAACTTTGTTCATTAAAACTATACTCGGTACAAGATTTCCTTGGTTTTTTCCAATTAAGCTATCAATTTAAGATCTTCCCAACCTTCCCTCCATCCTTAGTGGTTGCCTGTAATATGTAGGTCCTTGCCTGATATCATGGCATTGAGTATAAAAGTCATGTTGTAGGTGAGCTTTGTCTAAGCTGTGGTCCTCTAATATGTGAGATCCTAGTTGGCCCTCTGGTTATCCCTTCACCACTGTGTAACTTCAGGTATACACCTCCGTTCATTCCCTAAACTACACTGATTTTCAGCTAAAATAGCTGCTTGTCCAAGTTCACAAGGCTGTTTAAGTTCTACTGATTTGAAAGCAGGGAGAAATATTTCAGGCAAAGTATTTCCACTTGTGGATAATTTATTCAGGCAGAGTCCTGTGTTAGGACAATTCTCATACTCCTAGACAGCATTGTCACTTCAGAGAGTGGCATATTATACACTTTGGTAACAAGAATCAGTCTTGTTACCAAATTAAAGGTTGATCCTTTAATTTGAAATTACTTCATTATGTAAACAAAGATGAACACTTGAACTAATTTGTAGATATTTTAATGCTATTAACACTTTCTTTTGACCTTTTCATTTCTGTGGTTTTACCAAAATCCTAATATGCTATTTCCTTTTATTTGGCTGAATTGTCAATTACCTGTGTGTGCAGAGTTTGGTGAACAGGAGAATGCTCATTCTACTTTACCTCTAGGCACACCACTTATCTTCCCTCCACAGATCATTCTTCTTAGGATGATACGCACCTCCTGAACCCAGGAACAGTGTACAAGAGAGAAAAAAGCGTGTTTTAATGTAAAATTGTTTCTATATCAGAGCAAATAAAAGACTTCAAGCCACCCTAGGACACATTGCAGACTTGTGTGTCTTTCAAAAATTTTAAATTGATAACATCATGAATTACCATTTTCAGTTTGCATTGATTTGCTTACTTAAATGAATTGTTAACTAAATAAATGTGATTTTTCCATTTCTTTGTCAAAGACGGCAAATTCATAAGTGGATTGGGTTCATTCATTCCTTCAAGTATTGCTTTAATATTTATTGAAGTCTCTGTAGCACCACTACAAATGATGAAAGATGTAGCAAAGCAGGAATGTTGTGATACAAACAACAAACATATACAATCTAGTACCTATACTTATTCCAAATTATTTCATATCATCTACTTAATAAATATATTTTATAAATTAATGGGTTTGATTATGACATTTTTACATGTATACAGTGTTCATCCATCAAATTTATCCCCTCACCCTCTGTCATCCTATTTCCCTTCCCATTGAACCCTCCATATGCAAACAGCAAATAGTTCCCTCTGTATGTTCACGTCTTTTGGGTTGTTTGGTTTTTGTTCTGAAATCCACATATCAGCAAAAACACATGATATTTGTCTTTCTGCATCTGGCTTATTTCACTTAACATCATGATTTTCATTTCTATCCAATTTCCTGAAAATGACATCATTTCATTCTTCTTTATGGCTAAATAATACTTCACTGTTTATATATATCATATTTTTATCTGTTGATAGGTATATGTTGGCTGACTCCATGACTTGGCTGCAGTGAACTGTGCCATAATAAATGTGGATGTGCTAACATCTCTATTATATGTTGACTTTTTCCCCTCAGGTATATATACCCAGGAGTGGTATAGCAGAACCATATTTTAATTCTACTTTTAGTGTTTTGAAAAACATCTATACTGATTATTGCAGTGGCTGCACTAATTTACAGCTCTACCAACAGTGTATAAAGGGTTTCTTTTTCCCATACATCCTCACCAGCATTCATTGCTATTTGTTCTCATGATGATAGCCATTCTAACTGGAGTGAGATGGAATCTAACTGCCATTTCAATTTGCATTTCCTTTATGGCTAAAAGTGTCAAACATTTCTTCATGTATTAATTGGTGAGCTGTTCTTCTTTTGAGAAGTTCAATTTATTTGTCCATTTATTGATTGAGTTGCTTGCTTTTTTGTTTAACTTTTTGAGTTCTTTAACTATTCGGATATTAATACCTTGCCCAGGGAATAGTTGGCAAAGATTTTCTCCCATTCTGTCGGCGTCTCTTCACTTTGGTAATTGTTGTCTTTGCTGAGCAGAAACTTTTTCCACTTTGACACAATCCCATTTTTCTTTTAATAGGAAGTATTACTTTCTGAGCTATTGGAGTCATTCATACTCAGAAAGTTCTTGCCTATGGCTATGTCTCACTATGATTCTCTGTAGTAGTCTCAAATTTCCTGGTCTTATTTAAGGTCTTTCATACATTTTGACTTTATTTTTGTACAGAGTGAGAGATACGGGGATAGTCTCTAACATTTACATGTAAATAGGTAGTTTTCCCAACACCATTTGTTGAAGAGGCTGTATTTTCTCCAGTATATGTTTTTGGTCACCTTTTTCAAGAATTAGATGGTTATGGCTGTGGAATGATTTCTTGGTACTCTATCCTATTCCATTTATCTATATGTATGTTTTGTGCCAATACCATGCTGTTTTTGGTACTATTACTCTGTAATACAATTTGAAGTCAAATATCGGGATGCTTCCAGCATTGCTCTTTTTTCTCAGAACTGTTTGGCTATTTGGGGTCTTTTGTGCTTCCATATGAATTTTAGAATTTTTTTCTATTATTATGAAGAATTTTTATATGGATTGCATTGACTCTATAGATAAATTTCAGCAACATACTCATTTTCACAATATTAATTCTGATGATTCATGAACATGGGAGGTTCATGGACCTCCCTTCTGTTTTCTTCAATTTCTTCTTTCAGTGTTTCACAGTTATTTTGTAATGTCTTTCACCTCCTTGATTAAGTTTGTTCCAGGTATATTTTAGGCTTTTGAACAGGGATTGTTTTCCTGGTTTCTTCTCAGCATGTTTATTATTGACATACAAAGAAAAGCTACTGGTTTTTGTATATTGGTTTTGTATAGTGCTACTTTGCTCAAAGTGTTTAACAGACCTAACAGTCTTCTAATGGAGTTGTTAGGAACTTTTAAGTATTAAATCATATCATCTGTAAATAGAGATAATTGGACTTTTTTCCTATATGTATCCCTCTTATTTTTTTCTCTTGCCCTATTGTTTCATTTTTCTAGCTATGAATTCATGTACTAAGCAAAAGGCAGACCCAGTCTAATCCAGTCACAATATCAAACTTCAGAGAGTGTTGGGTCCCTGTGGGAAGAAACTTCTGTACCATTCCTCAGTGACATGCTCCACTTACTTATTATTGTGTGTTCTAAAACTCAGCAACTTTAAACTACTATAATCACTATGTTAATATCTCTCATGCTTTTGGGTTTTGACTTTATCATCCAGGCAAGCCCTTGCTCCTTATGTCTCAGGTAGTTGCAATCAGATGATGGCTGTGACTACAGTCATCTCAACAGCTTCTTTTTTCTTGAACTTTTTATTAAAGTATGTTAATTATACAAAACAATGGTTTCATTATGACATTTGCATGCATACATGTAATGTGCCTTTAATATCTCCCCTTTCCCCTTCCACATCACCAATAGTCCTTTTTCTTTCATATTCTTTCATATGAGAGAAAAACATGAAGCTTGTCTTTGTGAGACTGGCTTATTTCAATTAACGTGATGATCTCCATTTCCATCCATTTCCTGAAATCAACACAATTTCACTCTTCTTTATAGCTAAATAATGCTTCATTGTGTATATATACCACACTTCCTTTACCCATTAAACCTTAGATGGACACCTAGGATGATTCCATACCTTGGCTATTGTGAATAATGCAGCAATAAACATGGGTGTCCAGCTATCTACA